CGAGGTTCAATAAAAGGTTCGCGATGACAGTTTCAAGCACAAAATTTTAGGTGGAGCAATTTGATGGCAAGATGGATTTTAGTCTTTGGCAAAGCAACATCAAAGATTTGTTAGTTCAACAAGATTTGATGAAGTCGCTCTTCGGCAAGGAGAAGAAGCCAAAGGACATGAAGGACGAAGACTGGGAGGAGCTCGAGCAGTGAGCTGTTAGTACCATCAGATTGACCCTTGCGCCAGATGTGAAGTATAGCGTGATGGACGAGACAAGTCCAGTGAAGCTGATGAAGACATTAGAAGATATTTATATGTCGAAGTCACCTACAAACCGATTGTTCATGAAGAAGGAACTGTACCAATTGAAGATGCAACAAGGTATCCATGTCGTAGATCACATCAACAGGTTCAATAAATTAATTAAGGAGCTGGCGAGTATCGATGTGACATATGAAGAAGAAGATAAGGCCCTGATGTTGTTGATGTCTCTTCCACATTCGTATGACAACTTGAGGAATTCGTTGTGTGTTGGGAAGCAGACTCTTTCAGTTGCAGATGTGACAGCAGTGCTGATGGAAAATTTCAAATTGAACCAGTCTAGTAGCAATACCAGTGATGATATCGCTGTAGCAGAGGTTAACCGTGGTAGGGGCCCGTCACGGTCTAACCAGTTTAAAAGAAATTCTAGATCTGGTTCGAGAGGAAGAACGGATTACGCAGAAAAAGAGTGTTACTACTGTCATAAGAAGGGACATATCCAGTTTTATTGTGAGGAGATGAAGAACGACATGGAACAGTTGAAGAAAAATCGCAAGAAGTCCAGTGAGACTGCGATTGTTGAAGAGGATTCAGATGGTGAACTCTTCTTGATACAAGAAGCAAAAGGTGAGCACAAAGTTGAAGATTCGTGGATTTTGGATTCTGCCTGTTCGTTTCATATTTGTGCAAATAAGGAGTGGTTTAGCAACTACAAGCCTTGCAGTAATGGAGAAGCAGTAATTTTGGCAGATAATCGTGAATTAAAAATTCATGGTGTTGGTAGTGTGAAGATAAAGATGCATGATGGATTTGTAAAGACTGTTGCAGATGTAAGGCACATGCCAGAACTTGGAAAAAATTTGATCTCCCTAGGTAGACTTGATTCGAGAGGATGTGGCTTTTTGTCTCGAGGTGGAGCTTTGAAGATTACCAAAGGCGCCTTGGTAATTATGAAGGGGGAATTGATGCAGAAGAACCTTTACAGGTTGATTGGTAATGCAGTGAAGAGAAATACAAAGATCGAGGCTTGTGCAGTATCAGGCAGAAAGCAGAACATTTTTTTGATGAATAGGCAGAAAGCAGAACATTGTTGCATCTAACAAGAGAAAGGTTGGTTTTGCAATGATAACAAGTAGCAGCAAAGATAGCCATGCACCAACATATGGAAGAATGAAGCAAATGTGGGTTAAGAAGACATAAATTATGAAGAACGTCAAGTGCAATTCAGCCCAAGGTGGAGATTGTTAGGTATGAGCTGAATTTTACTTGGTCAAACTCAAAGAAAAAGGGGAAAGGTTAGGTAAAGAAATTTTCAACAATTGGCACCAATAATTTAATATAAATTAGGTGCCAATTTTTGACAACTACCATGCAATCTTGGCTATAAATACTAGTGTAAGTGTTGATGCAAAAAAAACAACGGAGAAATAAAAGGAAGAGAAGGAAAAGAGAGAGGAAGAGAGAAGAGAAGAAGAGAGAGGAGAATAGGAAGAAAAATATATTAGTCTCCTTACAAAATTAGGAAGTAAAAAATAGGGGAAAAATACTTTGGAGTATTTTGAAGAAACACCTTTGTGGGTAGATTTTATTGAGAAGTTGTTTGCACTAATATTTTATATTAATGGAAGATTTGTAATTTGTGGACGTAGGCAAGATTAAGGCCGAACCACGTTAAATTCTTGTGTCTCTTTTATTTTTTCCGAATCTTTTGCAGTTTTTTTCCAACAATTATTAGGTCAAGTTCACAGCGAGAAAGGTACTGGTGATCAGCCATACAGCAAATTTTGCCTGGCCTTTTAAGCTATAAATTAAAATCAGATTCTATCCTTCTTTTTCATTTTCTTCTTCCCTCCCTCAAGAAATTAAGATCAAACTCACAAAAAGATTGAATTTATGTGGATGACAAACCACTTGTTAATTAGTTCAGAGCAAAGATTGTGCGCTAATGATTTTATTACTATTTGTATATAGTGCTAATTGGAGTTTAGCTTCAAGTTGCTGCAGTAGGCAACTTAAAAAACCTAATCTTCTTGGTTACAAAGCTGGTTGATCACCCAATAGGTGCAGTCCAGAACATAGTGATCTTCCAACTAATTCAGGTTTTGCTTCTAAACAATAATAATATTTGCACACGCTACCACTGAATTGCCTTTTTAAGGGTTTAACAAATCCAAGTTGCTAAATTGGTCTCCTCCCGGTTCTTTGTATCTCAGTAAAAAAACCATGGGCGGGCACTAGTTTCCAAATTTGAGAGTGATCAGTTGTAGTGCGAGTTTAACCCTACCCTCATACTCTAACAAGGCAATTAGTGAAGATGTAGAAAATCCCACTTGTGCTATTTTTGCTTCCTTGACATGACTATGACCACTGATTGTTTGGTGAACCATTTTTCGAAACATATTATGTCTCTCGACCTATATATAGGAGCTTAGTAACGTCGATACATATCGAGCTTGGCTATAGTTATACTTACATTACCAATAACCAAGTAACCAACTAAGTCCTGAATATTGCAGCAACCATGAAGACTTGCTTCATATGTTGCTGTTTGTTAAGCATTGTCCTCTTGGCTTCCGCAGGTATAAATACTTTAATGCATTTATATAACTGTCTTCGCTTCTTCCAGTTTGACTGAGAAATCCACTCCATAAATCTTTAATATTGATCAGTATTTCCGCTCCAGCGGACAGAGCACCACAGTACTCATGGGGCAGAACTTTTGCATGCACTATTATTCTAAGACACACAATAAAACTTTGGCAGAGTATAGAACTAATGGTATGGCTTTTACATGACGCCGTTTATTTACAATTATAAGCAGGTGGTGAAACGATGAAGATGAGAAACGAAAGTAATGCAAGGTGCATGGCAGTGATGGACCCGGATGGGTGCAACCTTTTATCATGTAGGCAAAGGTGTATCCAACTCAAGAATGGGAATGGTGTTTGTCAGGCCAATCTCAAAGAAGGTGGATATCAATGTGTGTGTTACATGAATTGTGGAACCAACTAATATTGACAGCCCTGCATGCTTGCAGTACTTGGGTCAATTCCAAATTACTCGTTCTTTTCTTTTTCAAAATAATTAAGATATGGTGTACCGTGGAAGTGGGTGAGATGCATTCTGATCCGCCTTTTTGTCTGTCTATATGCTGTAATTTTAGACATTATTGTCTTTATGTTACGTTATGGTATTTAAATCCCTGTTACTACTATGAGATCACTCTTCTATATTTTGAGTGTTTAAACGTTTAATTTGTTGACAACTTTGCTGAGAAAAAAAGTTTCCAGTACTAAACATGAGACCATGGGAAAATTTGTAATTAATAATAATGAGTAGTTGAGCAAAATGATATTTGCTTGCAATTGCATGCTTCCGCAACTTTTTCAGGCCATAGTTTCTCATCAACATATATAGACAATTCCCAATTAGTTGGTCGTATGTATATCATTATTGCTAATTTTTTCATTAACCCCGGTGTTCTCTGCCTCCATATATATTACGAGGCGTCCCAAATTAAGGGGATAAAGAAAGAATTTCGGGAGTGTTCATGTTAATACATTTTGCATCCTTTGTCCTCATTTTCATGTTTCATGAGAATGGACGTGCACTGATGTAACCAGAGCAGAGTGGATATGTTATAACTTATATAGTTTGTGCATGTCGCATTTGGAACTTGTAATTAATGTTTGGAGAGTGGCAAGACTTGGATGCAAAGTTGAGGAGGATATAATTATATTGAGCTCATCATCAACAAAGTAATATGATATAAAGTCGTATCGTTAGCTTAAAAAAAAAAAAGAAAAACAAAGTAATATGATGCATATATATATAAGAACCAAGAAGAGTGTCCAGGTTGTAAAGGGAAAAGTAGTTTGCATAGCATTGTACAAAAAGAAAAGAGCGACAGAGTAGTATACAGGGAAGGCATATATCAAAGGAAGGAGGCGATTGATATGTGACGCTGCGTCGTTTTAGCGAAAGGAGACTGATGACCGATTCGTGTCGTTCCCTTTGAAACAGAAAACTAATAGAGGGTACTAATAAACATTAACATCAAAAAATATTAGCGGAGCCAGGTTTCGATCCTGGGACCTGTGGGTTATGGGCCCACCACGCTTCTGCTGCGCCACTCCGCTTTGTTGTTAATCATCATCTGGTTATTTAATTTAATCCCATCATTCAGCGCGTCAACGTACTAAATCCTCTCATTTCATGTTTCTTGGTAAATCAAGAGGATTAAGTCTGGAGAGTGGCAAGACTTCGATGCAAAGAAAGGATGGCAATTGGCCTCTGACCACGGAGTTGAAGGCTGTAATGGATGGCGATTACCCTCCTCTTTTTCAAATGTATTTTATGTCTGGAGAGTGGCAAGACTTTGATGCAAAGTTAATATGATGCATATATATATTTTGACTTTATGGAGATTGTGCAATTTTGTGGGTGATTCGTAGTAAGAACCAAGAAGAGTGTCTAGGTTGTAAAGGGAAAAGATAGTTTGCATAGGAATGTATTTGTACGTACAAAAAGAAAAAAGTGACAACTAATTGAGTGGGAGGGAATATCAAAGGGAGGCCATTGATATATGACGCTGCGTCGTTCGAGCGAATAAAGGAGACTGAATGACCGATTCGTGTCGTTCCCATTGGAACAGAAAACTGAAAATATAGGTACAAATAAAAACGACTTTCCGTTTAGTGAAATATTACGCAAAAAGCCAAATGACAAGTCAAACGCAGAAAACTTTAAAGCAAAGCCAGGTTTCGATCCTGGGACCTGTGAAATATGTGCTCACCGCGCTTCCTCTGCGCCACTCTGCATTGTTGGTTAAGTTATCATCAAGTTTTCTATATATAAATAACAGCTACCTCGTCAGTTACCACACATCATTGGGCACGATCCTCTCGTTTTATGTTTCATGAGGAAGACGTCATTCATGGTAAATCAAAAGGATCAAGTGTTTCTATTGTGAGGTTGGTCCTTTTTTGACTTGATTTTGCTTAAATGAGGACTCGAATCATAGAAAATTTAAATTGGGAGATTCACCCACATAACCAAGTGTGCAATTCAGGTCAAATCCAAATTAGTCGGAGTAAAACTTCGGATACCGGATGAGAAACCAAAAAAGATGCCCATACAGTTCAAGCCTCAACCGTAAAATGACAAAGAAATTTTTGGCCCAAAAAAGCCTATTGGGTCTTGGTTAACCAAATTCGAACAGTCGACCGATTCGGGTTTAATAAGCTTGTTTATAGGGTACATATAAGGTTGATGACCGAAGATTGGTTTTGGTCTTCTTTATTACTCTAACGCCCTCCCTCAGGTGAAAGTAAAAGCGCCTTGGGCTTAAAACTTGTACTATCCACTTATATTTTATGCTTTTTAATTTGAAAAAAAGGGAGGTGTAACACGACTATTTGGTCGTAATGGCCCCCGTTACCATGTCAAGTGACCATCTAAACAAAACAAGGTAAACCGATGGTTGGGACCGAAAACTGGTTTTGGGGCCTTATTAGTTATTACTATAAGAGAATTCAAACTATTTCAAACCCTCCAAATATTTAAATTAAGTTAAATTTTAAATAATCACTTCAAATTTAAATAAGATAAATCCTACCAGCTTGCATAGGGCTTTATAGTTTATAGGCTTTCCATGTGCCTTAGACTCCCATGCCGTGACATAAATGCCTAAACTTCTGTGTCACACCTAAATGAAATCTTTTTTCCCAAAAAGATTTTTATCCCTTAAAAGTGTGAGATGGAAGACTCATACACTTTTCTAACCAGGTGAAAATTAAAATCAAATTTACGATTATATGGTGGAACATTATTCACTCTCTAAGTGTATTAAGCTAGTAGGTCTATGATCCCATAATAGTTCCGACAAAAATGATCCTCCTTTATCTGTCGGAAAATTCATTTAAGTGTATGCTTTGTGTAAAGTTGAAAACAGAGAAAATATATATCAGCGGCCTGTGATCCCAATTCTTGGCACTTGAACATTTCCACTTGTGCCTCCCCCTTACTTGTTACTGCTATTGTACTGAAAGGCTTTTCTATTTCTTGATCCAATTTGGGTTTTTAGGTTTTTTGGCCCCCATGTTTAGTGGTTTGGCCAATTTGGTTCTCCAAACCAAAGACTCGACCCAAACAAACCCAAGACTTTATTATTATTTCAATTTTATCTTCCGGGTCCCGTCACGGATAAGTTAGGGTCGTATCAGGTTATCAACCTATTCCTGGTGCCAGATCAGAAAGAACCCGGGATCAACATCCCAATAACAAATCTCAGGGATCAACACCCCAATCAAACCGGCATCAACATGTCCATCACAAGTAACCCAGATCATGGCCACCACAAAATAGTCTCAAACCATCCGGTCGTATCTCTACTTACCACGTGACAATTAAGTCATATCCATTCCAAAACCAAATCACAGGAATCGACATTCCTAACCCAAAACCAGAAGACACGACTCACTTATTAACTTTTCCAATTTTAATATCCGGGCCCCGTCACTGGACAAGCTAGGGTTGTACCTGGTTATCAACTAATTCCGGATGCCAGGCCAAAACATAACCCGGGATCAACATCCCAATAACATAACCAATCCGGGATCAACATCCCAATATCCAAACCAAACCGGGATCAACATCCCCAAATCAAGAAACCGACCATGGCCACCACAGAACTAGCCTCTAACCATCTAGTTCTACCACTACTTTTCACGTGACAATTAAATCATCATGACAATTCTCATTTCCAATTCCAGTACTCTTTCCCCAATTATCCAACTTTCTATTATCTCAAGTTATTCAACAGACCAAACCATCAACAATTTCATAACACCAATTATTCATAATTAACAGTTCAACATCAATTACAACACAATATTCACAGAACCAATAACACGTCCAACAACAGCAACAACAATAACCATAGTAGTCAAATAACCAACAATGACCGTCTCAACAGTCCAATCAAACAACAAAACACACAAAATATTACAGGCACATATCAAGGGTTATCCATCCTGACCTTAGCCGTTTATCAGTTATGGAATCCTCAACAGGTTCCAAAGCCAGTTCCTCGGAATACTGCTCGGTATCAACTCCTATACAACACATAATATGCATTCATCAGATGCACAACAAATGATATGCAAATGAAAGTCTAATGCTGTAACCGTAAAGTAAAACACTATGCCCACTCTGGTTACTGCCTCGAGTTGTATTCCGTTATCATTATCATTTACCATTTAATTCCAAGTCAAAATGATAATTTACCATATTTATAGCCGGGTACTATTCCGGTAAAATATTTTCACAAAATAATTATATAGCATATATTCTTTTCCAAAAATATTTCCATAAATTTTTTTTTCTATATCACATATTCTTTTTCAAAAATATTCTCACAAACATAATCATTTACGATATGCTGTTATAAAGTATATCCCATAATATACTATACATATTTTTTCCAGAAAATGATAGCTTATATATTTTTTCCAAAATTTCATAGTACATATATCCTTTTCTAAAAAGTATTTACTATATAATAATTTTCCAAAGGATATGAATCACGTTATAATTACCTTGATTTCCAAAAATAATATTATGTCAAAGTATTTACTTCATTTATCTTCAAAAATATAATTATATACTATATATATACTTTTCCAGAAATATACCATATAAATATATATATATATTTTTGAAATTATATACTTTTTTTTAATTTTCGGATAGGGCCAGCCCAAAAGGATTAGACCAACCCAACCAAGCATAGCACAGGTGCCAGGCCAAGGCTCAGGTCAACAGCTCGGCCCAAGAATCCAAGCCCAAAGTCAACCCAGACCAGACCAAGCCATGACCCGATCGTAAAATGGGTCAAGCTCGACCCATCCGGGTCGTCTTCAACCCCGGGTTGCCCACCTGCAACGACGACGGCGAGACGCGAGGCGAGGCGGTGCAAGATAGTGCGCGTCCGGAGGAGGCGATGGCGCGAGGAGGAAGGAAGGCGACAGATGGCGTGGCGGCAGGCGGCGGCGGCAACACAGGAAGAAGGAGACGGCGGAGGTAGAGGCGCGTCTTGGTGTGCAGCAGGAAGGAGCGGCCGGCGGCGCTTGGAGAAAGCGGCGGCTGCTGCGTGATGCGGGAAAGAAGGAAGAAGAAGGTGGAGGAGAAGGTGGCGGCGAGCTGGTGGTCTCGGGTGGTTGGTGGCGACAGTTCACAATAAGGGAGAAGAGGAAGAAGAAAGAAGAGAAATGGGGGTGTGGGGTTTTTGGCGAAACGACACAGTTTTGCTTGGGTTTGTGTGTTTCTTTTTTTTTTCTGGTTTGGTTGGTCTGTGTGGCTTTGCAGGTGCAGGAGAAACGAAGTTGAAGGAGATGAAGATGATGCTGGGTTAGGAGGTTTGCAGGAAGAAGAAGGTGGTGTGGTGCACTGGGAAGGCAAGAAATCACGAGGTTAAAAGGTGTGCATGGGTTGGTGAGACAGGAAGAAAAGGCAGGCACGGGCGACACAGGAAAGAGGCGGCGCCTAACTCAATCATGCAGGTAAGTCGTGTACCGTCCGGACCAGAAAATAACTGATACACCTCCTTAGTTATATTTCCGGTCTAATTTTTCTGAGGATTTTGGGACCCAAAAAATACCAACTTTGGTCCGGAAAATTCACGGAAAATCCCCAAGCGCGGGAAAAGGCTCGGTTTCGAAAAGCAACGCCCAATTTATCTTGAATTAATTACCCAAGATTAAATTCAAAGGTAAATCACTGTATAACGACTTTTACAGTCCCGGTAAAAATACAAATTTTTACCCGGGCTGTTACAGGGAGAGTTTAAATAGGAATTTTTAGAAATTAGTATATGAAAAAAATAAAATTTTAAAAATAATAAATCCAGCATAATAAGGTGTATTTATTTAAAACCAAGTAAAATTTTTGGAAATTAAGTTTTACTCATTTTTAATATTGTTAAAAATAAAATATGATTAAAAGAAAGAAAAATGATTAAATCAATAATCAAAATTGGGTCAGCTTTCATTTTGGTATCCAACAAATTTCGGGTCGGTTAGGTGAAAAACCCGGGGTCGGTAGCATGCGGAGCCCACAAAGGCACATGGATCCTACATGTCCAGCCATTCCTCTAAAACGACGTCGTTTTGCTACAGTAACACGCGCAAATACCTCGGGCAGCCTCCACATTAGCAGGTGCCTGACCAGGGGTCTACGTTTGGCCTGCCCATGCAATCTCGGGGTATATGCCCAGCCAAAAAAAAAATCGAAGTACCAAATTGGCCAAACCACTAAACATGGGCCAAAAAAACCCAAAAACCCATCCAATTTAATCTCTAGCTGCTTTCTTTTGACCTTCGAATGAATACACTACAAGCACTTCCTACTCTCAAGTTCCCTCATTTTCTCTACAAGAACAAATCTTGATACTGTCCACTCCACACTGACTTAGACCTGGCAATTCGTGTTGTCGTGTCGGGTTCGTGTCGGGTTGAACAGGTAATCGGGTTCTAAATCTTCAACCCGACCCGACCCGACCCATTTAATAATCGTGTCGTGTCGTGTCCAACCCGTTTATTATTGTGTCGGGTTCGGGTTGACCCGCGGGTTACCTATTAAGTCTAACAAGCCTAAAAATGAGTTTGAAATTTTTCTATTTTGCGTATTTTTAAGCAAATAGGCATATAATTAATTTTTTCATACATTAAATAAAATTATAAATTGTAGAATCAAAATATAATAATATTTTAAAGTATTTATAGAAGCATTTTTGGATAATTTTAGTAACTTTAGCCTTAAA